AGTGAAATCCTCGGAGAATTGATTATCTGTCACCCATCTATATTTATCACTATTGAATAACAGTCGAATCCTACGTTTCACTTCTTTGGTGTTAAACTACATATAAGAGAGTATAGAACACTGTATAGGTCGATCTTCCGAAAGTCAAACTTTACACAGTAGTGGGACACTAACTTCAACAGTCGGCAACATTTAAGTGAAAAATAAAAAAGAATTTTATCAATTCTGTATGCCACAGGATTCCAAAGATTTGTTCAATCGATACGGTCCATAAAAAACTGGAAAACCTTCGCTCAACACATTTAAGTAATGAATATTCTTGAAGGTTTATTACAAGAAACACGGGGACAGAGACCTCCTCTAGCCAAATCATAGTGCCAGAGAAGACATTGTTTATGAGTTTGGCAGACGAAGTACGATTCCATAATGCATCAAAAGATAAACTATCGCTTATGTCCGCCATTTTGTGCTCATACACTTCCACATGCTACTGTGGAGCTAATTACATTAGACGTTGTGATTTCAGAAACGCATAACTGAACACTACTCGGTTTGGTTAATGAAATGGAGAGCATAGAATGAATGGACACCTAGAGTCAAGTGATTCAACCCACGTGATTTATCTTCCAGTTATCTAATGAGTTCAATTGAGCCACTACAAAAGTTGACGTTTTCTACACTGATATATACCTGAAGCTATAGCTAGACATGGACAAAAGCCATAACTATACATTCACAAAATTGGTACGTTATATCCCTTCTTCCTTTACCTTAGTCATAGTCTAACAATAGAAGGCAAGCGTCAGCCAACAGATTGTTTATTGAGGAAATCAACAGGTATTTACAGATTTTTACGTACATTATTATTCGTTTTTACTAGCAGAGAAACGGCGTCTTCTGATTGGTTGTTTTCTCACTGACAGTTGTTTTGTCATCTCTTTGCGGCCGTTCCTTTAAAGGTCAGACCATATATCTGCAAATCGTATCCGCCCATGCAAGTCTGCTGTTATTAATTGTTGAGTCAATGTTCGTTCTTGAATGTTTTTCTGATGACCAAGATTTGGGATGTAAATTGCTGTCTACCAACTTCGGCTAGCAGACAGCTCTCACCACGACAGTAATGTTCTTTTTTATATTCTATGTTATCGTCATTTGAATTCATTCCAACTTACTTCATCTTCACGTTCTTTATTGTTACAATGACCGCACTTTCATTATTTTTTTGAAAACATTCGACCTACTTTTAAAATCTTAATGGTAGGGCACTTATTTAAATATCTTGAATAATTTTTATAAGTCATCCACCTCGACTGGCTACTCTCTTAAACGTCATGTTGACGATTATTTTTGTACTTATCGCATATATGTTGATTGAGAAATTTCTAGGAGCAAATTACCGCCTTTTTCCGTAACACTTAAATACTACTGTAGAGAGAGCAGTAAAGTATTCTCAAGCGCGATTGCCAGACACAGTGGAAATTAGTCAGACTTTCAAAAAAAATTCAATACACAAAGAAAAGAAAAGCACGGTTACTTCGGCTCACAGAAGCCATTGCCACCATCAAGAGACTTTAGCCCAACCTGTGTATACAGAAAGACAGTGTGGCTAATGTCTAACTACCCTACATGGCAACCATAATTGTTTTGTTCGTGTGCCTTGTATTTTCTTCTGTTGCATAACATTCCACTCACTCAGCTGAACTCATTATTAAGGTTTTAAACCTACTAAATTATTTTACTTCACTATTCACCCCCACCCTGTTGAACTCTTCATCATAATATGTATAAATTCATTGTGTTGTTCTATCTCGTATTCTGTCTTTAATTCAGCCTCGTTTCCAAGCGAAATCTGAACTCTACCCCCACCGTATCCAATTACTGTATAAATATATATATACAAATGCAAGATGATGTTACAGGACTGGACCACACCGAATCCTAGTACCATCAGCCCCAACGGGTTGATCTCTGACGAAATCTCAGCACGGATACACAAGGCTAGTTTCGCAAATGCCAGTTAACGCCGTCTCTGGCCTAGTAGACGAGATATCCGACTATCGACCAAAGGGCGGGTGTACTGCTCATCAGTCCGCTCCGTCCTCCTTTATGGCTGGCTGTGAGACCTGGCCACTGAGAGTGGTGCCTGCATTCTATCTCCCGTGTGAAGTGGCATAATAAGGTGAGCAAAACTGAGGTTAGGCGACGAGTGCTAAGTAAGGAGGAGAAATCAATCGACGAGGTTGTGAAGTTACATAGATTGACATGGTTAGGACATGTGCTACGTATACCTAATTATCGCCTTCCTCGACGAGCAATGTTAGGGGATATAGGGTCAGGCTGGAAGAAAGCTAGCGGCGGTCAAACGAAAACGGCACCAGTCAATGAAATCTACAACAGTTAGTCTAAGCCACGTAGGAAGGTGTAGACTTCCTGACTGGTTGGAGTCCTCGGGACGGTAAAAACAAATGGTTGGAAACAATTGGTGACATGGCTCAAAATCTTTCTCAATGGCTAGCGCAGATGCATCCACTTCTTGTGATTTATGAATACCAATGAAACTATATTGTTCTTCGTTATCACTATTCCTTTGTCTCACACCTCTGCTTACTGTCTCTATTATGCTTTTCTTGTACTTTCTTCTCTTGCTTTGTGTGCTACATGGAGTGTGGCGATTTGAACTGGCGCACATATGTGCACAGTTCTATGTCGAAAACAGACAGACAGACAGAGTATATAAACAGTTACTCTTTTGACGCTAAATAATTGTTTACTTACATCATCTTAGAAATTATGTTGTTGCTTATACTTTCTATCTATAACTTGAAATTATTGCAAAAAGTATGGTTAGAAAACATTTTTTTTAAACATATAATTGATTTTGTCTAGGGGATGTACGCAGTTGAAGAGAATTCACGAAATAAAATGAGTTCGAATTATCCTGCAGATATGTTTATTCTCCCTCTATTCAAACTAATGCAGGGAATCGCCTGTATGAATAAATGGGTATATTTCGCGATTAAAATAGTGGTAATGATCATAATGGTTTTATCAATAATAAGGATGAAAAATTCAGGTGGTCTGTGATAACAAGAATAACGAAAAACAGCATGATTAGACAAACAAATGTTCAGGTAGAATTAGTCGGTAAAGGCTACGAAAAACAAATGAACCGATTAAGTAGTGCTAGACCGCAGGTGCAGTTGAATTGATGAAGGCACATAGATATGACATTAGTGAACATCTCCGATCGTGGTTTACCAAAGGACAGACAAAAACAATCCGTAGCTCAATTTTATCACATTTAATTGATAGTGGTCATGTAGTGGAGAAAACGGGAGCTTTCAAAGTAATTCATCGTATCCTACCGAATCCTTACAATAGACTTCGCATTCATATAAGAATAAAACTTGTGCACTGTGGTAGAGTGTAATTCCATTATGGGTAAATTTTGTTTTGATAAAGTCTCACAGTGTTATACAGTAATGTTTACTGATGACGTTTCGAGCACAATTTATTGCTCATAATTATATCAAGGTAATCACACGACTTCCTAACTTCATTTATATAGTTCCATTGTTTTTCTCTTGATTTTCACTCGATTTGATTGGTAATAGTATTTTCCATATTTCAGGTATGAGTGACGAGTCATTCCTATTGCATGTGTTGGGTGTAGACTCGTTGATTACTGAATCCTTGTTCATCGAGTCTACACCCAACACATGCAATAGGAATGACTCGTCGCTCATACCTGAAATATGGAAAATACTATTACCAATCAAATCAAGAGGAAAACAATGGAACTATATAAATGAATTTAGGAAGTCGTTTGAGGAGTAACTTGATATGATTATGAGTGGCAATAATTTGTGCTCGAAACGTCATCAGTAAACATTACTGTATAACACTGTGAGACTTTATCAAAACAAAATTTACCCATAATGGAAGACTTCGCATTCGTCTACTGAACACAGCTGAGGCGATAAGCATTAGGACTATTAAACATAAACTATGCGTTCAAAAGAAGTTCGTACAGCCATTATCCCTCCCTTGGCCTATAAAGACATAACCAACTGATGACTTCTACACCACCCCTTGTTTATATTTTCAACCCCTTTCTTATCATCCCTTAATCTTATCACATCTTCATTATAAACGTGTTTCACTAACTTCCCTTACAATCAGTCTAGCATTACTTAATCGGTTCATTTGTTTTTCTTAGCCTTTATCGACTACTTCCACCTGAACATTTGTTTGTTTAATCATACTGTTTTCATTATTCGTGTTATCACAGATTGCCTCACTTTTTCATCCTTATTATTGATATAACCATTTTATTATTATTATTTTGACTAATTGCGCAATTCATGTTCACCATCTTATTATCCTATAGACAAAACACCATAATTGGTCAGATGCATGAACCTTAACTAGACTATTAGGTATATCAAGTCACACTAACCTTTCACATCAAACCTAAAAATATACACACCGTGTTTTACAATGTCAAAGTAACCAAGTTATAATAACTATAGTATGTATTTGTTTTACTGGTTATTGTAACATGATTTCTTACGTTGGTTAGTCTGACAATGTAAAACACGGTGTATATTTCAATTTTAATATGAAAGGTTAGTGTGTGTGTGTGTGTGGCGTAAACACTCAATTTTCAGCCGATAGGCCACACAAGTTCGAACCACGTTCCTCTACCTACTTCAGCTTGAACAGCTAGCTGGGTAGTATCAACAAACATTTCACATGAAAAGTGTAGCTCATAGTCTGATGTACGTGAAAAATCTGTTCCAGGGTAAGTCAGCTTAACAAACAAACAAACAACCAAACAACGGTATGTGGAACTTTTAACTTTTCTTTTAAGATGAACACGCATCACTACAACAAAATCTGTCCAAGGAATGGATCGATTCAACTAACGGAAATAAAATACAAATAGATTTGAAAAAGGCAAATAAAAGTCGACCATATATTTATATATATATATATATATATATATATATACTATTATAACTAAAGTGTATATTTACAACCAATTCTAAAACTTTAGCTCACGAATGATACACGGATAAACAAACTATGGGATAAGTATACCAAAATACATGTTATTATTATCTAATGGACGATGAATGTCTTTACACTTCAGTAGGAGCAACGGCAGCGGCAGCAACATTAGTAGTACAGGGCGAAGAAGGAAGAGAAGGAGAGAACAAGCTGAAAAAAGCCTTACCATAGCATAACTAACTCCACCGTCAGAGTGAAAGTTAACGACTAGAAATTAAAAACAAAAAAATTATAGAACCACCAGTGTTATACACAATGGTATTTTGTTCCAGTGAATTACACTGTGTTTATTTTATTCTTTAGGTCGATAGTCATCATCATAGTAGAATGAACTAATTGGTCTGTCTTTATCGAAATACTGAAGATTTGATTTTGTTTCCGATTGTTGTTTACTTTCATCAATCCCATCTCTGGTGGTTTAGAATTTGAATTTGAAGGTGATGATCCTGATTGTTCAGGATGATGACGATAATATTCTCTACGTTGGGCATAACTCATTGGTGGATGTTTTTCTACAGGTGTATTTACAATAATAGGTGAATCGGGAGTTGGTTGAAATGTTCCACCAGATTGAGTGAATTGTTCTACTCTGAGAATTTGATCCTTAATACGACTATCGTTCAGTTGAAGAAACATACGTTTACATTCACCAATATAACTGACTTTGCCAAGAAAATAACCAACAGTCATACTGATCACATAACACGGGATTCGAAGCATTCTACGTTTTGTAAAGAAACCATATCTATCAGCGACTGTAACAGCTAAACCAGCACCAATTGTAAACGGTACACTACCTCGCCAAAATGATAATTGTCTACACTTTTTAAGCGTGGTTAAATCTTCTTCTGTCAGTTGGACTGGATCATTCGGTGGAAACATATCTTGGAGAGAGAGAGAGAGAGAAAGCACATAGTATTTATAATTAGCCAAAATATACCCCAATGAATAAATATGTTTGATAATATATCAGATATAGCCTTAGTTGTAGTGAAATATTATTATTATTTATTTATTTATTTAAACGCATAAAAACTTGGCACAATATGGCACCAAGAAGGATGCGCCACACAATAATAATAAAACAACATAGATCAAAAGAAAAAAAGAAAAAATATATATAAGTAGAGAATGGATAAAGAACTTCATCTGGAAGGAAAACAGTCATGCTTAACAAGCTCAAACAGTATTCGTTAACTATCATCGGGAAGGGAAGAAAGAAGGAAATTGCAACACGTTCGCCATTGATTACGATTCTTGGCCATATCCGATGACGTTTCGAGCCATCGATTTAAGCTGTGTCTCGGACCCTAACCAGGGAGTCGTGACTCACCAACCGATGCTAATCTAGCACAAAAATCCTCATCTCACGACGCCACGTCATGGACTGACCACCTCTCCGCCTTTTCCATCCTGTCCCAGGGCTAGCGAACAGAGACCTGTACGGAAGCCTCTGGGATGACATTCGCAGCACATGTCCAAGCCACCGGAGCCGATGTTTCCGGATGACGACACCCGGTCGATAACTGCTACCTTGTCGTGGTGGTCGGGCTTGAATACCGCAATGAACCAACAAGCTAAACTGACTGGGACTCATGTCCCTGCAGGTCCTACCATGTCAGAAAGGTTGTTGGATAGCGGTTAAACTAAAAGCAGTTACCATGGGGTACATGGGCTCTAGTATCCAATCGGATCAAATGGCGTATGAACCCATATGGGTCACCGGGAACCATGGGAATGCAGCTCCTGACGCTGCTCCGCTGCCTTGCGGATTAGGCTCCAAGTCAAAGGCTCGGGGTAGTCCCTTAATAAAACCACCTGCTTCGGTCTGGGCGCCCAGGCAGTATCTCAGCCCGCACACAATATATCATATGAAGCAACAAACTATTAATGAAACTTATCGCGCGCTATTATGAATATTTATTGATGACAGAGCATAGTTCATTGCTTTTCAAGGTATCTACATAGTCTTCTGACATTTCTAAAGAGCAATACAGTTAGATTAAGGTAGAGGTCGATCAGTAAATCACGGATCATCCAAATCCACATTTTACATATGTGGGGAAAAAGACACAGATCAAATAAGGAACAAACTGTAGAATCATGTAAACAAAGTCATAAGGTGCTATGAAGGCAATGACTACCAAGGAGAATATGCTTGACAGACATACATGGCATCCAATAGAAAACCAACACATTCGGACAGAAGCCTAGACTACAATTCAGCACATCTGTTTACCACTAAAGTCACTGTGGCCAAGAATCAGATTAACAGAGCCAAACGTCCAGTTACTGAGATGGAGGAGGAGGAGGTCAACAGGGAACTAAAATTGATTTAGTCCACTCTTGAATCAAATAATTAACCCCACAAATCCTTTATGAAAAGATACTTCAAGTGTGAAGATGAGGATGGATTAAAACTTGTTGCTAAGACTTCAATTAGTACAATGATGATTTTTTACTGCAAAGAAACATTAGGTGAGATCAAGCGAATCCTTAACAATCATGTTTTTTCGTGTATGCGACACCTTACTCTCATCACTGGTGAAGGTTAAGCATAAAACAGAAGAAGACAACCAACAAAATTGTATATACGAGATCAATTGTGGGGATTGTGACACTGTATATGTAAGAGAAACTTCCAGTCAGGTTGATATAAGAGTGAAGGAATGCAAAGAAGGACGAAGCTAGAAAGCAGATCGGTGATTGCACTGCACACGATAGAAACGGGACACAAGATCGACTTTGATAGGACCAAAGTTCTACAGAAACGTTTTGGTTCGTACAAAGAAAGACTGACTGCAGAAGCCTTATATATATAGGTGAATCTCAAAAGTTTGAAGAGACGTGAAGGTGTGATGTTAGCTTATGCATGACAAATCCTGATTAATAAATAAAAATATGTGTGTCGGTGTCGCCGACCATGCACATGGTTCGAGGTTTTTTTATATTTTATTGTTGATAACAGGTTGATTCCACACCGCATTTTTGGTACAGGTATGGAATTTTCAGCATGTGATATCGGTAGCCCAAATTTTGTAGGTCGACCATAGATATCAGCTGTGCGCCGGTGTGGGTTCGAACCCCGGACCATGTGCATGGTCGGCGAGAATCCTAACCACTGTGCCCCTACCGACACACAACTGATATCTATGGTCGGCCTGCAAAATTTGGGCTACCGATATCACATGCTGAAAATTCCATACCTGTACCAAAAATACAGTGTGGAATCAAGCTGTAATCAAAAATATAAAAAAATATCAACAATTAATGATACTTGGTCAAAATTTCCGATTGTCTATATCTTCTTATGGAGGGGTTAACAGGTGATTTACAATTGTAATCCCATGTCAACATGCACACGTGCATTGAAGGCATGTGAAATTTATATCAGAAACTGAAACTGTATTTTATATATTTTTTTTATATTTTTGATTTACAGCTTGATTCCACACTGTATTTTCGGTACAAGTATGGAATTTTCAGCATGGATATCGGTAGCCCAAATTTTGCAGGCCGACCATAGATATCAGATGTGCGTCGGTGCGGGCTCGAACCCCGGACCATGTACATGGTCGGCGAGAGTCCTAACCACTGTACCACCGACGCACAATAAAGGGAGGACCGTGAGGCCTCCCCACTGACAAAAACTACACGCCCGAGCGCACCCGATTAGGGTCCGTCGCGAGTTTCAACCTACCGAGGTGCAATGGTGAGCCTCCACCCGGGGTCAGAGCATTCTTGATCACCCTGAACCCGGCGCCAGGTAAGTTGGGGTACGTACGTCATATGGAATGATAGTTCGGTATTTAATATTGTCAAATGAACGTATGCGAAAAATGTTCAGTCATTCAGAACATAAAACAAAGCGGGAATAGACAAATGGGTGACATACAAATGTATTTATAGTCAACAGAATACAGGTTTCATTGTGAGGTGGGGTCGAGTTATATTTAATGGTGTGCGAGGAGATTGATTACCACAAAATACACACAAACAAACAAATATCGAAAATAGGATACACACTGAATGCAAGTTCAAGGGCTGACAGACATCAAGTGTAGTCTATTAACACTTTATCTTATCTTCTGAATGACTGTACATTTTTATATTCGTTCATTTGACAATATTAAGTACCGAACTATCACTCCGTATTATACATGTACCCCAACAATACAGTTTCCGATATAATTTCCATATGCCTTTAATGGCTATTTGTATTATAATGGAATCATGGATTTATAACTGTAGAGCCTGAAGAAGAATTTATCGAAACCATAATTGTTCGCTCGAAATCACCTTTTTCTAATATTTGTAAATCAGAGGTCAAATTTTGATCACAGTTCATGCAATTTTCTTAATGATATTTTGATATCTGTTTTATGACTCATATAATTAGATAATGTTTTTAAAAACAAGAGATATCCTTTTTTATCATTAATATTTCGATTAATTTCTCTGAAGAATTTTGCATCAATTTGCCGAACAGAACATTGGAATTACTCATTTCAAATCCGCTGTGATTTTAAAAATTCAATATTTTGCATATATCTACTTCTCACTCAGTGCCCAATTATTTTGGTACTATTCCATCAAATGTTGATCCCAGTTCATATGAATAATATAACAATGTATCATTATTATTTAATTGGTGGATGGTGGCTAGCAGTGGAATCCAGGATGCGCATTTCGTCCTATTTGGGACTCGTCAGCTAACTGGATGTACCTGCATTTCTCATTGAGTGATGATATTCCCACCGAGACTCGAACCCAGTGCCCATAGTTTCAAACGCCAAAGCGTTATCGACTAGACCACTTGGGCCACGATTAGTTTTTTTTCTCGGTTAACTTATACACCACCAGAGTTTTGAAATTCTATCCTTATGTTAAAACTGTTTGAAAGTGAGAGGGAAAACACCAGCGGTCACTATGGGACACAAACGATTAGTTTACAAAAATTATTTGGATTACTTTACAGACCCATTTTTTCCCTTTCACTTGTCCACAATTAATATCATATTAGAAAACAACCTTGAGTCATGAATAATTATAAATTGTGAAATCAGTGTGAAGTATTATTCTGGAACAATTATTCCTATGCTTAGGCTAAATAAAACAACATAAGTGTCAAACGACAGGTTGGCAGAAGAGGCTAGCAGCGACGACAGGACTTCGAGTAATCTTAACGAAGACGAAGGTAATGATGAAAGGACGAGAATGTCAAAAGCAGTGAGAATTGGAAGGGCAAGACACGCCTACATTACTCTGAATTTTAGTGTGTAAATCAGTTCTACTCAGTATGAGGAACAAAATTCGGATTTTCAATGCCAATGTTCAGTCAGTGGTTACTTCTTTTATATGGGTCAGAAACTTGCACTGTGCATGAGTCACGGAAAGCATTTTGAAGATTAATAGGACGGAGACAAAGAATTAGCAACAGGGGACGAACATGTGAAGAACCGATCGCTTAATAAATATCATGAAGAAAATAGAGATGGATCGGACACACGCTGAGAAGACCGCCGTGTGACATAGCACTAGCCAAGTTATTACTCGAGTGAAACGCGAATGAGAAACAATGAGGTGTGAGTTCGTGAGTGACACCTTGAGCTGCAATCTTCGAATGTTTGGCATGCGATTCACTCCCACCAAATGTAAGATGGTGCTGCATGACTGACTGAACCACATTGACTCCTGGCTTAGAAATAGGCAGTGAAGTGGTAGAGCGTTTTGACCACTTCACTTATTTGGGAAGTTGCATCAGCTAGTTCCAATGGGTTGATCGCTGACGAAATCTCAGCACGGATACACAAGGCTAGTTTCGCGAATGCCAGTTAATGCCGTCTCTGGCCTAGTAGACGGGATATCCGACTATCGACCAAAGGGCGGGTGTACTGCTCATCAGTCCGCTCCGTCCTCCTTTATGGCTGGCTGTCAGACCTGGCCATGAAGGAGATCATGTAAGGAGGGGATGAGAGCCTATGGGCAATCGTAGAGTCAACTAAGGAGAACTGCAGAAGACAGGACAAAATGGAGACGTGCTGTTGAAGCCGTATGTTCCATTCGGAACCCTAGGGAACAATAATAATTTCTATTGCATGTGTTCGGCATTGATTTGACAAACAAAGATTAAGTGATTAGCCTCTCTTCCCGTCTAACTATATTACTTTTTAATACTTTTACTCCGTCCCACCCTATTGTGTCGTTACATGCAAACGAATGCAATCCAATGGCTGAGATTTTTTCTAGGTTATTTAACTTAGCACAGTCAGTCGCTAATACATTTACAAATATATAGATTTAATGCATAGTAGAAATACTAATCGCTATCACTGATGGTAATTTATTCCTCAGTCACTTGTTTTACTACACAAATCGCCGCTCCAGAGTATATATAACCTCCCAACTTAATTCACAACAAACTATTCGTCAATAAGTCTTGAACCAATAATTAACACCACAAGCCGGCATTCTCAGCATATAGGTCTACATTCATATTAGAATGTCATAAAGGAAGTAAAGTGAGGTAAAATAATACTTGAAAGTGAATTTTATCTCTTAAAAACACAAAAAGCGAATGAAGATAAACTTTACTATGGAGTTAAATGAAGACAGGCTTGAGTACATCCGCTTCACTGGGGTTTATTTTGTCTGACAAACCTAAACGAGGCCAATCACACATCATACAGATTGGAGATTAGTAATCAGTGGCTTGCTTGAGTAGTAGAATACTTAGATTTAGCTAACCATAGCATAGTACATTGATATAAACAGTATGTAGGTGTGCTGTCTTCATTCATATTAGTTTTATAACTTTACTCGACTTCTGACACCTTAATACACTCCATACTATAGCTCTACAATGCTTGTATGGTGGTCGAAAGACAAAAACGTGAAAAAATGCTACGAAACTATTTTGAAATACCTGGAACATGAACAAAATCTTTTTACAGACTATAACATCAGGTGGCCAAGAGACCACTAGACTCCATAGGATACTGGAGAACAGCAATGACCCAGTATTAAGGACTCCTTAATTTATCATAAAAGATAACCGAAAGCGATTTCATTTGTAACACCTGTTCTCCTTTAGACAATTTAATGACTTTTCAAGTAGTGGTTTTTGTAGGGATTTTCTTGTTTGATTAGATGGAGGATTTCGTCATGAGCTGACAACAGTTAGACAACCATTGGAAAACCTGTAGAGAGTACTGGACAGCTGTTTCGTCAGCCTAGTTCGGGACTCTTCACCAGTACGCACCCACTGGGGTTCGAACGCAGGACCTTATGGCTACAAGGCTAGCGAGCTCGTAGACCATTAAGCCCCTGGGACCCGATTCAATGGCCCATGAATTCTAACTTCTGCCAATTCATGACATAACGTGGCCACTTCTCAATGTCTTCTTGGATGAGTTACTGCCTCGCCTTCAACCTGCTGCACCCTACTGGTCACAGCTTTTCACTAGAACCCCAGGTCACTGACTGAATGGGGCCTTATGAAATATAAGAAAGAAAGCCTTTGACTTAAATAGATACCTTTTTGTCTCATTATTGGCTTGCTGTCAATTTTCGCTTCAATGATTTTTATGATAGTAAGTATTTTGACTCACCTTTATTATATGACAGTGGGAAATCAATGAAATAATCCAACGGTAAATGAAACCAATAGCTATCTAAAATCCTTTTACATATAGTCTATCTAATTGAACGGTGAGAATGAAGCTTTTACAAGAGAAGTGTCAGTCTTGTAAGCTAGTAGAGGGTAGATTTGATTCTCTTTACCTCAAACGACAATACCTACAAAAGAAAAGACATTAAGTGTTCATTTAATTAACAACAACAATAATAATAATTTAAAACTTGTAGCAATATATAAATACGATAAACGAAAAACACATGTAGTAGACGATGTGTATACGAAAGCAGTAAACCGTTTTGTTACATTCCTATTAGTTGACTGACTGGTTATAACTTTGCACTGATGTGCAACAGTTCCAGTAGCCAAACTTCAATTAGCACACAGAGCCAGAGAAGAAAGTGAAAAGAAACGCAAAATGGAGACAGTAAACAGAGATATGAGGCAAAAAGAATGGTAATATGGAAGAACCAAATATTTTTCTTGGAAATTATAGGTCACAAGGCGTCTGAGCCATTGAGAACAGTTTAGAGCCATATCACCAATTGTCTGCAGCCATTGGTGTTTACCGTTCCGAGCACCCAAACTAATCAGGAAGTCTACACCTTCCTATGTCGCTGGCTTAAACTAACTGTTATAGATTTCATTGACTGGTACTATATTTTGGTTCGATCACCACTAGGTCTCTCATTTCCAACCTGATCCATCTTGTCAGCTGACATTGCCCGTCGAGGAAGGAGATGACTAGGCAGTCATGCGTAATACATGTCCTAACCATCTCAGTCGATGTAACTTCACAGTCTCGTCTATTGATTTACCCTTCTTAACTAGCACTCGATGCCTAACCTCAGCATTACTCACCTTATTATACCACTTGACACGGGAGATAGAGCGAAGGCACCTGTGAACAAAGACAGCTAATCTTTTTATGTCTACCACTCTCAATGGCCACGTCTGACAGCCAGCCATAAAGGAGGACGGAGCGGACTGATGAGCAGTAAACACGCCCTTTGGTTGATAGCTGGCCGGATATCACGTCTACTAGGCCAGAGACGGCATTAACTGGCATTCGCGAAACTAGCCTTGTGTATCCGTGCTGAGATTTCGTCAGCGATCAACCCATTGGAACTAGCTGATGCAACTTCCCAAATAAGTGAAGTGATCAAAACGCTCTACCACTTCACTGCCTATTTCTAAGCCAGGAGTCAATGTGGTTCAGTCAGTCATGCAGCATCATCTTACATTTGGTGGGAGTGAATCGCAAGCCAAACATTCGAAGATTGCAGCTCAAGGTGTTCAGAAGACTCTGCATTTTGTCAGCATCCTCGCCTAGGAGGACTATATCGTTTGCATATTCTAAGTCAACGAGATTATTCCCTGGTGGCAACAAGTCAATCCCTGAGTCGCTGAAGTGAGTTAGGGTTAAGTCCATTAGTACATCTTTGATGAAATTGAATAGAAATGGGGATAATGGGCATCCCTGACGGACATCACTAGTCGTCACCACTTCAGATGACAAATCGCCGTAAGCCCTAACCTAGCTGCATGAGTTCAAGTAGAGTGAGTGGTTTGATCAGTGCAATGTATTATCTCGGCATTCTCTTTACAGCCAAGCATCTCCACAGCACCTCTCGGTCGACAGAATCGAATTCCGCCTTTAGGTCAAGAAATATAACGATTGTTGGACTTCAGTAGGAATGCCTATGTTCTAGAACCCGTCGAAGGATGAAGATATGATCAATACACCCTCTTCCTGGTCTAAAAGCCTGCCTAGCTCTCTCGTGTTTGTGGCTTTCGAGCACCACTTAGTCTACGCAATGTTATTGAGCCTAGGACTTTAGATACTATATTAGTCATCTAGTCCCTCTGTGATTATCAAAGGAAACCTTGTCTCCCTTCTTGTATATGGGTATAATCAGTGACTTACACCAACCCGACGGCACTTCCTCTGATTCCCAGACGCTTCCTAGTAACTCAGTTACTGCAGACAGTAAACTGCCCCCCACTACTTAAATACCTCTGGAGTCATTCCATCAGATCCCGCTGCTTGGCCTCGTTTCAGACTAGTGACAGCTTTAGTAACCTCAGTTATGGACGAAGGACCTGTGTCTATATCCCATTCAGAGAGGTGCTGGATGTTCGGCAGGTTGAGCGTGGCTATAGGCCAATTAAACTGCTCCTCATAGTGTTCCTTGCCGCGTTGCAGTCATCTATCCTGGGAGCTAACTATGGTGCCATTCTTCTCAGGGATTGTTTCACTTATCATTTGTTTCCCTGATAAGCCTAAATAGTTATCTGGTGTTACCAATCGCCGATGCCTTTTCCATCTCTTTCGCTTTTGTCACCCACCACTGTTCACGGTCGTTGCGAAGACTTCTTGTTAGTTTTCGTTCAAGTACTTTTCGCTCCTCATCATAATCGGAACTCCCCGGAATCAGTCTCCTTGCGTCAAATAGTTATAGCTAAGTAGATGAATCGACTAAGCGTTCACATCTGCAGTTTTCAGGCCTACAGCTTGCCGCTAAGAAAGACGAAACCACAGTCCCACATTCATGCGAAAGTCAACAGATAACATACACAACTACTCGATGGAAGTTATTTTGGAGATGGTGATAGGTTTCACTGCGCTAACTTAAGTTAGTGATGATTAAGACGCTGACTTAAGATATACATCTCCAAAGTTTTCAATTTCTTAGTTTTAAATAACTGAGCATTTGGTATATGACTGTATTTCCTAATGAATGAAAAACAAAAAGATACGGTTGTCACTGGTTATTTGCTTTTTGAAGTTAATAGCTTTATTAAGGTAAAAGTACACCAGAATGTAAGAAATATCAGCTCATGTAAGGCAATTCCATCATAGTTCTCTGTGTGGGGAGAGGTGGTTTGTTTATCCTAAGTACTCGACTTTCAGTCATTTGGTTCTGGCTTCAAATATCATCTCACCTACTTTAGCCTAGATAAATGAATAGTGTCATCAGACCTCATGGGACAGTAATGGCTAATGGCCTGATACCGGATAATTGAGTTTTTAATGGTTAACTCTTATGTGTTTAATAGTTGGAGGCAAGCAGCAAGAAATCTTGAACCTAGGTTTCGTGGTTGTTGGTACTCACCAGTCAGCAAGGCGTTCGAACCCATGTCACCTGGTGCTGAAGTCAGAATTCCATTTTTCCAAGCTAATCTAATTTCAATAAATGTTGTCCATTACGGAACATATTCTTAAGTCGTTCGCAGTACATCCAGAAGTCAAATCAAACAGGGAAGATCCATAACTACATTGAATAACTTACCTTTGTTATATAATAACTTAAATCTACTCGGCATCAATTACGACGTTGCTCCAGTCAACATGAACACTTTAAAAAAGCTTTAGTGTGTTCGAACCGATTCAGAAAGTTGTCTACTTAGATTGACGCAAACTCGTGAATGAATGCACTGAACAACTTGTTTAAACGTTCTACTCTCTATCCATAGCTACAAGTTATACAAAACCCACTTAAGTTGGACATGCCAAACAAGTAGATTCCTGAGCACAAAATTTAAAAGACTGAAAGATCTGCTGTCATCGCACCAAGATACAACTACAATAAATTGTATACACAGGGATACATTGGGAGGTTTCCATCTGTAGACGCACCTGGATTCTACCTAACGGTTCTTAAATTATCAGCTTACACTCAGTTGCATGTTTTTACCTTAAAATCTTTTTAATACATGTCTTACCAACTTCACAAACACAGTGCATTTATGAGGCAGTATTTTGATTCCGTAGTGCATTCTTCAATAAATGCATAGTCATCACGCGTACTATAATGTATGCTAACGTGTGACAATTTTGTTAAGGGATAGGACTAGGTGAGAAATATTTTGCAGCCACAAATAGGAGCGTCAGTATGATGGGGCTTAACTGGTGATCACAACTTCAGAGAATGAATCCACCCCCAACTTTTCACTCGTTTTAAGGTAGAGAAACCTCCATAACGCTTTAAGTGAAGATAGGCCAAAATATAATAATCCTCGAGAATATCATGATTCACATCTTCACAACTGGGGGTAAAAATTCCCACGTAATATACTACTCCTAAATTTCCACTGATTTGACTTTTCAGCACAGCACTGTACTGTTGAAAGTACATCATATTAAAAAATTCTATGAGTTGAACGGTTAATTCATGGTCAGAGCGTTTGAAGGTTAATCGTACGTATTCAAAATGATTATGTGAAGTATAATGAACATATATTTAAGCGCAATTTATCGGTGCAGTCTAGCAATTATCGATTCCAAATTATATGACGAAACAGAAAAAAAGAGTAAAAGCTTAGATCGTTAGTGGCTTGTGTCACCACTCACAAACACGCACAGACTAAGAGTTCCGAAAATTCAAATAAGCGCTGTTACGCAGTCAGGGTCATATTCCAATTTAGCGCTTGAGGGTGACGTCTAGAATCTCAGTCACATATTTCGACTGAGCTTGTCCCGCATGCTCAGGGTCATTGATGGAATTAGTCACCCATAGATCACTTTTGTTCATGTTAGTTGACCATGCTGGCTTGCCATTCCCTAACTGTTTTTTTACGCACAGTTATTCCCAAATTGTCTTGATGCACACTGTTCAAAAATGTTGTGTTCGACCACATTTTTGTTTCACGCTGCTTTTATTATTATTTATTTCCTTTGTTTAGAAATTGTTTATCACTGCATCATTTCATTCATTTCATTCGAAATGTTTCATGCATTGGATTCATGTGTGGATGCGGTGTTTTAGTTTTTTTCGGCTGTTGATGAAAAAGTACTGTGTAGAAGTTTTGCAAATTGTGCACATTAACATATATGGGTGCAGAAACTGTTGTGCCCAGTTTACTCCTTGGTTCCCGTTGTTGCTAGCTGAATATGTAGAAATCTTGAGGAAAACAATGTCTTTCACGTTCATTTTTATAGCATGCGACATTCCACTAGTCAGTCTAGTGATGGCAGCACTACCAGAGCTGATATTAGCAAGGTCCTCGAATAAAATATTAAATAAGGAGAATTCATAAGCTGGGTTGAAGTTGAAAAGGCTTTGAAGCTTTTCGAGAAGTTGGGTATATAATCATCGTGTCTATTATCAGTTAGCAAACTCTTGATGTATTGTGAGAGAATCTGAATTGAACAGGAATGAGTCATATGTGAAGTATGAATATGTTCTTATAGGCACTTTCGGAAAAAAGAAATTGGAAGGCTTCCGTCTTAGAGTGTAAGTTACCTATGGTTGTTCATGCGTAATGGAGTAGATCTGAATACATTGGTCGCCCATCGTTGATACGCATCCAGTATCAGTGCAATAAATTTGTAATTCATAATTGCAGTTGCACACATGGATTTTTAAAGAAGTATGCAAGCTCACGCAAATTAAACTAGTCGGAACTGCGAATAGTTAAGGCGCTGCTGTCTGTTTCATCCAAGTCTGAAAAGTTATGGAGTATATGACAGAACTATTTAAGAGGAGGATGATGTACGATGGTTTACTAAATATCAGAGCTTCTGTAATTGAAGATAAGACTTTGATTGGCAAGAACAACCTTTCATATTGTGGTTTGTGGTTAGCGACTTTTTAGGTCACAACAAGTTGAGAAGTTGATTATAATTCGAGATGACAGCCATGGCAGAAAACAAATAGCTTTTCCAGTTCGAATAGGTAAGTCGAAACTTACCGCGAATTCCATGAGGTTATTGGTCTAGATTCCACCTACAACAAAAATAAAGAAAGGTAGGTGTAAAAGGTTTCTAAATCTAATATTTCAAGCTATAAACTATCGCAACTTGTTGGTACAGACTGTTATGGGGAAGCTCTCCAGGTGATGTTTGCGGGATCAGAAGAGGAAGGTTAAGGGATGCAAAAAGCGTCCTGGATAAGTTAAAATGCATTGTGGGCTCAGCATGTAGCACCCAAACCTTCGTCGTGAACTGCGCAAAAGCATCAAGAGGCACGGTGGAGACAATGAAACCGTTTTGCAATATAATATTCTGAGCATTCCATGTTTATCGCACAGTGTGTGAGAAGGTGAGCTATGAATTTAGAGGATTTTTTAGACACTACCCCGCTGCGCTTGTAACATTCATGAGAACTACCTACATTCGTTAGCCCATCAGTCAGCTAACTTGACAACAGAACAATATTAATAAAGTAGAGTGATTTCTATACACTAAATCCACACATATCATAATATACTGCGCCAATCAGTGCAAATAAATATCGTATGCCTCTAACCTTTCAACTTACGATAATTCCTGTCCAAACCCATGTACAATGAAAGACGCACCTACATGATAGCTTCTGTTTCCACGAAAGCTTGTGTTAGCATTTATAGGTGATTCCCATGTACTGATAGCATTCTTTCGTCAAACAGTACTATCAATCACGTCTCAAAACCGTTAATGCCCAGCTCTTGCTGCACAGGGTCTCTCGCTGTCCCTCGAAGCCTTTCAGAAACTCTTGGTAGTAAAGGGCGCAAACCAAAACACCGATTGGCGACTCGAGAATTCTTTATTCTAACACCAACATATAACCAGCATAATAACTAAGGTTTCTGACGGTATTTGATCTTCTTTCTGAACAGCGACCGATGGGATGATGACTGGTGTATTGATGCCTCCGAGAAAATATAGGGAAGTTGAGTTTGAGCAAACAACCATGAATTGATCGTTCAATCTTCAACTACATTGACAAGTACTGTTCTTCGCTCGAAAATAGGCTTCATTGATACCCTGAGACGTCAAGTCTTCATTGAATGATACTATGTCGGAAGATGCAGCTACTACATTAGGCAGACTATTTGTGCAGATGACATTGCTCTCCAACTATTCCATCTGGCTATTTAAAGAGACATTTCAACATAGTCACGTTGAGACACTAACTACTGGAAAGAATATGCCAGGGAGTGTGCCACACTCAGATCACATGACGCTGACACACATGACTTATCAGAAAATGACAATTCCTTTGTTAAAACTTATTCGCAAAAATATTTACCGAGAGAAATTTCAACCAACATGTCTGACAAGTTCAGCCCATTTTTCAAAATGAAAAAATCACATGAACCCTTCATTTAACTGCCGTAATGGCGAGGGAAAAAGCATCCAGTAAAGTGATAAGACTTCAAGGAGGTTCCAACATTTAACTTGTATTATGCTTTAAATCTGACTGTTTTATGTTGGACTGAAATAAGAGTAGCATGGTGATTTATACCGATTTCCAAGATCTACTATGGATGAGACTGATTTCATTGATCCAAGCTTTTAATATGGGAGTAATAAAAATGCAGGTATATTAGTATGACCAGTTTAAAGTATGTAAATTTAAAAGTGAATAAAAATACGTCAGTGGATGAATTATCGGGATAGGCATTATAGTGAGACAGGAAGGATTCACTGGGTGTCAGAGATGACTTTATCAAAGAACAGCTTGATGAAAAGCGGCTTAGGAGGGTTACATCAAAGTCTGGCCTAAAAGACGGTCAACTGGACACAGCCTGTGGGTTGCAGTACATCCTGAGACCAAGACTTCCCAGTGGAGGTGTCGTAGCCATGGCTGCCGAGAATTCTGTGGACATCAGGCCTGAAATGGAATGAAGTGGCACAAAACTTGAATCTTCGCGTCTTATAAAGGGGCCTGTAATGACCCTGTGAAAGGATTTCAAAGTTTGTGCGATCCTAGTTGTCAATGGCGTTGAAGGTTGAACGATCAATTCATGGTTGTTTGCTCAAACCCAACCCCTCCATATTTTTCGTGGGAGTTAACCATCCACCAATCATGGTCTCATCGTTCGCTGTTCAGTGGAAGATCGAAAACTGTCAGAAGTATTATCGTGATTTATTGTTATAACATTTATTATTAGACCTTGTGTAATAACCTTATTGTTGGTTACATGTTGGCGTAAGAATAAAGGATTCTCGAGTCGCTAATCAGTGTTCTGTTTTTCGCATTGGTTAATACAAAGTGTTTCTGAAAGTCTTCGAGGGACAGCGTGAGGTCCATCGTGGTAAGAGCTGGACATTGACACTTACTGAGAGTTGTCTGACACTGGTCGTCTATAATCTTCTAAGTCTTCATAAGATCACTGATGCTCCGGTGTTGGGTAAATGTAAGAATATCTGGTTCTCAAAACCTTTAGTCACGTATTTTTTGAGGAAATCCGATAAACCCGTCGTCTCCTTTCGTATCACGATTCCGAAGGGCTTGTTTTCTGCTGTTAATAGTAGTATACACCAAAATAGTCAAAATCTGCTGGATCTTTTGCTCAGCTGTGTCAAGCTGTCTGGATATGGCTAACTCTGGAGGCAGATTTAATAATAATAATAATCCCATTTCACTTCTTCTATGTAACCTGCGAACAATGAAAGAAGAACGCTCCCTATACCTTTCTGAAATATTTTGTGAAAGGTGTCAGGTTGAACAATGTTAGACTTATCGCTATTATTATCCATCACACTAGTCCCGAGAAGAGTACGAGGCTGACTTCAAGCTTCCCCCTTATTATGATTTTCATCATACCATCATCGGATACGCAAATCTTCGCTGTGGTATATGGTGTCTGAAGTTAGCCAGCGAATTTCTCAGCCCACTTATTTCCAGTGCGTTCAGAATATTGGTTGGGCAATAAGTTTTTAGCTTCTTCCCTGTTGGAAATTCTCGCCGTTAATCCTTCCGTGTTTTCTTACCTCTTCTGTCAGGAGCAGTCAGTTGCTGATAAAAGCTTTTCGTGGCGTGCGCAGCATGACTGTGAATTACATAGAAGCGTATAAGTGTAATAAGTGTTCGAAATTAAGATCTCGTCACTTGTGTCGGGTGTCTTGACGGTGTTCCGCAGAGCGATGATAGACTGCCTTACTTTCTGGATGGTTTTGACACTCTAGTTTGCGTTGTCTTCAGTTGAAACGATATTGCCGATGTGAGTGAACTTCTATAGATGTCTCCCATTTTTGACGATTGGTACTTATTATTGGGGGAGTAGTTTCATTTACTCTGTCATATGTATGTTCACCTGAAAAATTTTGCCATCTCTTCTAACAGTTTGTTGCATGTGGCTTGCAAATCTCCGAGCTTTTGGGGCACGAGACATGATGTCCATGAAGTCCAGGTCTTTTAGTCATTTTGATTTATTCTGGCTTTCTCAGTCCTCAAGTTCTGTTGTATGGTCCAGTCTGACATAACCAGGAACTTCATCTGTGGTAGTAGGCATGGTAATCATATTCCTATCTCCACTTCAAAGGCATCACTGAGCTCCCCTTCACCAATCACTTGGCATATTGTAATACAACAAAGCGAACAGACGATTGTCTCTTTGCAGTCTGAAGTGTCATAGCCGATGCTCAGTCACCTCACGATCAATGTTACCGAGGACATTTTCTGGATTGATATTGGTTGTACTACTGCCGAGCCAGTATATGGCACGACACTACGACTACCAGGTGAGTTTGTTTCTCCCTCGAGCTTCCCACCAGCGGTAGATCACGCTTCAACGTCAGCAGGCTTACAAACGCAATGAGTTCAGTTAAATCTGCTCGCCTTCGTCCACAGTGTTTAAAAGCTTCTTTACATGCATTTGTTCGTCGTGACTCTATGCGTCGACCTCTGGAACCCCCATACGACGGACCTTAAAAAGTAATTAAACGTTCGGATAAATTCTTTGTCTTAGACAAGAAGGGCAGCGAAGACACCGTCAGCACCGACCCTCTGGAACTGGCTTACTTGGAGGGTAATCCTATTAGCATAGAGCTGAGCGTACCCCATAATCCACAAGCAGTCGAATACCCTCTAGTCCTCGAAGAACTCACTAGCATGGCGAAAGCTACTGAACCTTCTGTCGAGCCCCCTAAGTAAACTGTTCTCACAAAATCAGTCTTCCTAAGGCCACAATTCACGGGTGATGTTAATAGCGAGATTTTATCACAATGTTTGAGAAGCACCTTCAAAAGGACTTTCAACGCAGCTTAGTTACGCTATATATTTACTAGCCAACCAATACTTAGTTCAAGAAATAAAGACGTAGTTTTCTGTTTCACCCCTTCCATGTGTATTTACCAGTTTAACTGGTCGTGTGGAGGAGCTTGTTACATTGGGCGTAAGATAAGGCAAGTTCATCGTTGAATTTCTGGATACCTCCCATCTTCGTTTGGCGAAGGTCTGAAAAAAGCTATACGCAACTTAATACGTAACTTAATAATACACTCTGTTTTTCTGCGTCCATAAGTTTGGTTTGAAACGCTTGATTGCAATCGCTTCGACAAATGGCAGTAAATTTGCTGTCCTTTGTATCTTTAGTATTTTGGGGGATTTGGAAATCTTGATGAAACGACCCGTATCCACAAGGTGTCTGGTAACTGCACTTTGCGAATATCTGCTTCCATCTAGGCATACGTTTCTTGAGATATGCTCTAAAATCTGCAAACTGGTTTTCCCTTCTTTGTCAGAATTTATCAAGGGTATTAAATGTATGAAATATTTGAAAAGATGCTTACCTGCCAAAACTATAAAGTCACCGAATAAGATGGTGACACTGTGATATAGAATAAAGGGAGGGTTGAAAAACACTAAATTCTACGATCTATATTTCCAAACTGGTTGTTTCCCACGGAAATTCCTGAAACAAGTTCGACCGGCTAAAATCTGATCATAATTTTATTAGAATCTCCGTCGGATAAAAAACTCCTATTTTGAATTTTCATACAAATATCTTTCCCACGTGAAGTCTCATCTGGCTAATCTCTGAGATTCAGGTCTCACGTCTCCAAAGGGCACATTAGCAGTATAAACACAGAAACACAATTTGAACACTTATACCGCCAACTTTCTGACTTAGACATGTAGAGGAAGACGAATGAGAATAGTTAAGGTCTAAACTCGTAGATATTTGGTGAGAGCTGGCTGCTAGCCAAATTGGTAGATAGTAACTTACATCAGTGTTTATGTCTCAAATATCGGCCATGTGAAAACAAGAAGAAAGACTGACTCAACAACCAATCACAGCAGACTTTGCGTAGGTGGATACAATTAGCAGAGAGATGATCTGACATACAAGAAGCAGCCACAAAGAAATGAAAGATTAACTTTCAGTGAGAAACAACCAATCAGAAGACTATATTTGTTTACTAACAATAATCTATAATAATGCACATGAAAATCTATAAATATGTGTTGATTTCTTTAATAAACGATCTGTTGCCTTGCCCTTGTCTTCTGTTGTTACGGATATAGCCAACTAATACTACACATCACATTCCAAGAAACAGAAGATGCTGATCAAGGAACACACATCAATACTAAAGAGACTATCAGGAAATGGTCATATCGTCATGTTTAGACCTGATGAAGGCTCTGGAGTTGTTATAATGCACATAAGTAATTATCTACTCAAAATGCTAACAGTTCCTAAAGATCCAGAAAAAATCCAGGAGGACAGAACTTAAAGGGATACAACAACATCATTTGAAAATAAAGTAAGCAAATGCCTCAAAGGACTCCTAATTAAGAAACTGTTAGACAAAAGAACGTACACTGAACACTGGTCAAATTATGGACGCCTACCGTTTAGGTCTAGTCGACCGAAAATCCTTAAGGCCATTGTGTCCTTAAGACCGATATTATCAATGATCAATACACCATGTCATAAGTTAGCTCGATGTTTGGCTGATTCATTGGGGCCCATTCAAAATAAATTTGCAATCTATCGTTTAAAAGATACCTACCAATTTTTTAATTAAGTAGACTGTGTCGACATATCAAATAAACTTATGCTGTCACACGACGTGACTGCCTTATTTATAAATATACCAGTGATTGAAACAATTGACAGTATTTATCTACAAACGGAACTGTTATCACTACCTGAAACACAAATGAGGCGTCTACTGCTTCTCTGCACAAAAGATATCCAATTAAAATATAATACATTATTTTTTTGTTCAGCGAAGAGATTTCTTTTCAACGACTTGATTTTCAAGCTATACAGTCATATTTATATTACAGAAAAAGGTTATTAAGTGGCACTAAATAATTGCTCAGTCAATATATATATATATATATATATAAGTGATAAGGATAACGATAATTAAAATGTTATAAGGGATAGAGTTGCCCACGGTTAGCAGATCAAATTGTGTAATCCTCTTTAATGTACCAGACTGTAGCAGTAGTCTGCTGAAAGATAGGGCCCTATTTGATCAGGAACAGTGGTCCATCTTGAGTAGCACACTGGGTTTGGACATCCAACCAGTAAATCTATGCAGATTGTATAGGGGCACTGCTGCACCTGAAGGCAAACCATCCCCACTGAGGGTAACATTGGGCTCTACCGAGGATGTTGAAAAAGTGTTACTGGCTTCTCAAGTCCTTTCTATAGGGAGGGCCTGTAACATACGTGTTAAGCCAGACAGGCCGTGGAAGGAAAGACAAATGGCGAGGGAGTGGCCAGAGCTCATTCCTTCTGCCTCCATGGTTGTGCATGGCATTCCCGAACTGGTAACTGGGAACGCCTGCGAAAAGCATTGTCATGATGTACAACAATGGAGATGGTTGGCATCCCAGATGGTCCTGGGGAGTTTAGGGGCTGTCTCTATTTATAGACTACCTTGGCTCACTCACCTTATATCAATTAACACGCAACGTCTGTTAGCTGTCAAGTTCAGCTCCCAAGACCACCTGACTACCGCTCTCCATAGATGGTACGAGACCAAGGACAAGGTCAGTAAACACATTCGCTGCTGCGAGAGCTGGCCTCGCACCCAAAGGAGAGAACAAAGCGTTGTCAAAAAAATCCTTAACCCCTAGTCACACTACAGCGGTGCAGCACGGACGATGATAGCCAGTGTCATCCGAGTGCTCCAACTGAACTAGAAGAAAAAAACGCCAACAGGCCGGTTCCTGGGGAATCGGCCAACTAGTTCGTAGGATAACTCCTCAACCGATAGCCAATATCAAGTCAACTACCCCCCAGTACGGGGAAGTGGTGAGACTGACTACCAGTTGCCTGTATATTAATGTGAGAGGGCTAAGAGGCAAAATAGCTGAACTTAGACACCTACAATCACAACCAAACTCCAAAATCATAATACTGACGGAAACCTGGCTAACCCCTACGGTGGCAGACAGTGAAGTCAGTATGAATGATATGGTCCTAGTCAGGCGAGATAGAGACCTGGAAGAAGGAGGTGGAGTCGCCATATACGTCGACAAACAGCTCAGATGTGTTCACGCGGTGGACCCTCCCCTCACAGAGCTCCCTGACTCCATATGGTGCCACTTCACCGTTGGTTACTGCAAATATCTGGTGGGCAGCATTTATCGATCACCTTCATGTGGAGCAGACCACAACCAGGTACTCCTAAATACAATCTCAGCAACTAAAGACATGGGTTATGATCAAATTGTCATAGCTGGTGACTTCAATGCCCCATCTCTTAACTTGGTGTCGGGAAAAGCCCATGATAGATTTGATCGAAATCTGCTGCATACCATCAGGAAGGCTGGATTCACTGAAAATGTCAAGATGGATACTAGATGGGGCCCTGATGGGAAGTCTTCTAGACTGGATTACGTGCTCACTAGTGACCAGCTACTAGTGGAAAACGTTCAGATCACGACTCCCATAGGTAGTAGTGACCACGCGGTCATAGTATTTGACATAGTCCTCCGCGAGCGCTTACAGTGGGACAATACACAGCCCTATCTGTGTTATAACAAAGCCAACTACACCAAAATGCGAAGACTTCTGTCTGAAGCAAACTGGCCTAAAAATGGACAGAGCTAACAGTAGAAGAGCACTGGAGAGTGGTAAAGGAAATCATTCACCAGGCGGTCTCAGACACTGTTCCTTTAGTCTCACCAAAAGCTAGGAAGCAACGATCATGGCTGAAAAGGGGGACACAACGCCTTCTGCAGGCAAAGAGGAAAGCCTGGTTCGCGTGGCAACGATCGAAGAGTCAACCCGAATATGAAGTGTACCTTGAACTCAGGAATCGATGTAACATACGAGTCCGGAGCGATAGAAGGACATTTCAGGGAGACCTCCGCAATAAGCTTCTCGTGAACCCCAAAAGCCTATACAGGTTCATGGCCGAAAGAAAACCGACCAACCAGGTACCATGCAATCTAGTGGGTTCTGATGGGAAATCTCTTACTAGTCTTGAAATGGCAGAGACATTCAGCCTAGCCTTTCATAGGCAACTAAATAGTAACTAGGATATTACCCCTACAGAACATTCAGATTACATCGCATAACCAACACACGAAAACCTGCTGGGGATATTTCAAATTACCCCGGCTATGGTACTTGCAAAATTGGGAAGGTTGGCTTCGGGGAAGTCTGTGGTGGACCTTTTCACTCTATTAGCTTAGTTACCCAAATTCAAGTAGAAAATAAAATACCAAATGAGTTTAGTTACAGGAAGAATGTATTAAAGTTTGATTACTTGAGTTTACAAAGGTCCACAGTCCACAATAAACGGAATAGACTCCAGGTGCTGCGGAAAGACTGCTCCAGTAGTAATTCTCCAATGTTAACGTTGCCGGAGGTCGACCAAAGTACGTAGGAAGAAACTACGGTGCTCCTGCAAGAATCAGAGATAGAAAGCAGGTGATTAGGATTGATCGACGGCAGTTGAGATGGTGGAGAAGACGGAGAGTCGAAGGCACAGCTGTATATTTTTTCAAAACCCGAGGTAAAGTTAAAGTACCGAGTTTCTGGTTAAAACAAAGTGGTGTACAATATGTTCATTATTTACATAGTAGTAAAATTTGGATAAGTTTCTTTTTTGAGGACTCCACAGGGCTCCCCCTCTTAGAGGTCCGGAGGACCATCAGTACTGCCCTCGTGGACGATTACATGAATACAAGCAACATAAATAAGGGATAGTGTCAACAATATGGATAACAAAAAATAACAACAACAATAAAGATACAAAGTTAGATCAGGATGTATGGCATGCATCCGAGTCGTATAAAGTTTAGCACATACAGGAATTTTAAAAAAAAATCAAAATTTGTTATAATTTTAAATAAAAATTTATGTACGTAATAAACCATGACATGTTCGTTAACATTTGGGAAATTCATATATAAATAGATATATACATATACTTGGTGAATGCGTGTGCTTGCAGTACAGTTGACGAACAGCAAATAATACTAATAAATATTAATGGTTATAATGAAGTGAATGTTAACAACAATAGTAAATAATAATAGTAATAGCAACTTTTGGATAAAAATAGGGATATATTACAACATGCATGAGCACGAGAAGATATGTGAGTCATATAAAGTCTGAAAGCATATACAATTGGTTCAGCAATGAAAATTGAAAGAGAAAGTCATGTCACTTAAATTTGCACTAACCATGAACATAGATTTTTAATGTATAAAGAAAAATATGTAAATACACAGTAATTAAGGAGGGGAAAGAAAACATTAAAAAAATATGGATTAAAGATCAATAGTTTTTGAAAAGGACAATACCTGTTTTTTTAGGTGAGGTACATATAAATAAATAATAGTGATAGTAACATCAAAGTTTACGACGAAATACTAACCGTCATGATGATAATGTCTAAACGAAAAAAAATAATAATAATTTTTAATTATTTTTCTTTTGTTAGTCCTCAAAATGAACGTAGCGAGCCGGTTTACTGATTTGCCGACCACTACGTGTGTGATATGGAGGGAGGATAAGACTTGGTGCCGGTGGAGTGGAGTCGGATGTTTGATTATTTGATTGCGCAGCTGCCGATGTAGATTCAAAGTCGTTGTCGGTGTATGCGGGTTTGATTCGATCAATTGAAACAGTCTCTCGTCTTCCATTCTTGTTCACTGTAAAGTGTTTGTCTGAACGTTTAATAACTTGAAAGGGTCCTTCGTATGGAGGTTGCAATCCTTTTCTGATGGCGTCGACTCGAATGAAGACGAATTTGCAAGTTTGTAGATTTTTGTTGATCTGATCTCTTCGGGGAGATTGTCGAGGTGCTGTTGGTTGAAGTTGAAGCATTTGTCTAGTTAATCGGTTAGTGAAGTCGGCAATGTTCACGTCTGTGGAATCGGCTGAGGGGACTAGCTGTCCAGGCAAGGTTAGGTTGGTGCCATAGACAAGTTGAGCCGGTGTACATCCTAAATCTTCTTTGATAGTAGAACGGATACCAAGTAAAATCAAAGGTAAGTATTCACTCCACTTAGATGTATCATTCTGCGCCATCAGGGAGCTTTTCAGTTGTCTGTGGAATCTTTCCACTAGACCATTCGCTGCCGGATGATAGGCTGTTGTGGAGATATGTTTCACTCCCAGAAGTCTCGTCAGTTCGCGAAAGAGTGTCGATTGGAATTGAGGACCGCGGTCGGATGTAATAGTAGTTGGTACACCGTAGTTTGACACCCAGCGGTCAAGAAAAACTAAAGCAACGTTTTCAGCAGATATGTCGTTTAAGGGGCATGCAATAGCCCAACGAGTAAATCTATCAATCGCTGTCAGGATATGTGTATATCCCCTTGATGTTGGCAATGGTCCCACGATATCTATATGGATATGCTGAAATCTCCTTTCGGGTAATTCAAACGTCTTCGGGGTGGTAATAGTGTGGCGGTGTACTTTGGAGCATTGGCATTGGATACATTCTCGTGCCCATCTCCGAATGTCAGAGTTCATTTTAGGCCACACGAAGCGTTCGCCGATCAGCCTGACCGTGGCGCGTACTCCAGGGTGGGAAAGCGAATGTAAATGTTCGAACAATGCTTTTCGGCAACTGAGAGGGACAAATGGACGATTAGTGCCGGTAGATACATCGCAGACTATGGTTGCATCTGATAAGGGGATAGGCACATCTTTGAGCTGTAAGGAAGAGTTTCTGCGGCAGGTTTGGAGTTCAACGTCATCTTTTTGTAATTGAGCCATACGATCAAGACTGATGTCTACCGACGTTTGGAGCTGGTTAATGTCACTTCTTGAAAGAGAATCGGCTACGATATTAGAATCTCCTTTGATGAACTGGATGTCTGTGGAGAATTGTGAGATGTAATCCAGTTGTCTGGCTTCTCTCGGAGAGTGTCTGTCCAACGAAGTGGTGAAAGCATAACAAAGAGGCTTATGGTCGGTTAAGATAGTAAAATGTCGACCTTGTAGTAAGAAGCTGAAATGTTTCACTGCTAGGTAGATGGCTAACAGTTCTCTGCCAAAGGTACTGTAACGAGTTTGCGCAGGTTCCAACTTTTTGGAGAAGAAAGCAAGTGGAGTGATGTCATTATTGAACTTTTGTTGTAAAACTGCTCCCACTGCTACCTGCGATGCATCTGTACATAAAATGAGTGAAGCTTCTGGGTTGATGTGAGATAACATTACGACGTTGGATAAGGCATCTTTTGCATTATTAAATGCTGCTTTTGCTTCTTCAGACCACTGAAATTTCTTCGAATTGCATCTAAGTAGGTCGGTCAGTGGCTGAACTATGGAGGCACATGATGGAATAAAACGTCGGTAGAAGTTGAACATCCCGAGAAAACGTCTAAGTTTCTTTAAGGAATCAGGTTCGGGAAAGTTCTTAATAGTTTCTATCTTATCTTCGGTAGGTCTGATGCCTTCGGCAGTTATTCGATGTCCTAAGAATTCAATGGAAGGGGAACCAAAAATACATTTCTTTGGATTGATAACAACTCCAAATTGTTCAAACCTTTGAAATAACAAGCTTAAGTGTTGCATATGTTCTTCCATCGATGAGCTGGCAATTAAGACATCGTCGATATATACAAAGACGAAATCAAGACCTTGGGTAACTTGGTCCATAAAACGCTGAAATGTTTGAGCAGCATTCTTTAGTCCGAAAGGCATTCTCAAGAATTCGAATAATCCAAAAGGCGTAATAATTGCTGTTTTTGCAATGTCTTCTGGAGCGACTGGTATTTGATGATATGCCCTGACCAAGTCAACTTTGGTAAAAACGGTCTTTCCATGTAAGTTCAAGGAGAAGTCGTGGAGATGAGGTATAGGATAACGATCTGGGACCGTAGCGTTATTCAAAGCGCGATAATCTCCACATGGTCGCCAGTCATGATTAGTTTTAGGTACCATGTGCAGAGGTGAAGACCATGGGCTGTTAGATGGTCGTATGATACCTAACTGCATCATATGTTCAAATTCCGACTTAGCTGCTGCTAGTTTATCGGGTGGTAACCGTCGTGGACGTGCCTTCACAGGTTGTCCTGTTGTGATGATCTTATGCGTAACTGTATGAGATATATCTTCGGAGTTGTATGATGGTTTAAGGATTTTAGGAAATCGTTTCAATAAAGCAGAAAACATTTCACTCTCCGGCTTTTCTATACAGATGCTATGAACCGAGTAGTCACATGTAATACCGTGGATCTTGAGTTGGGTGCAATTGTCAACCAGTTTTTTCTTGCTGATATCAACTAACAGATTGAAGTGACTTAGGAAGTCTGCACCTAGTATAGCGTGACGTACGTCAGCTACTATGAAGATCCATGTGAAACGTCGGCGTAGTCCTAAGTTTAAAATCATTGACTGTTCGCCATACGTCTGTATGTTGGTTTGGTTGGCAGCACGGAGTGAAAGTTTTCCAGGTATTTTGGCTGATCGCCTGGATAGTGAGGGGGGAATAACACTGACCTCGGCGCCTGTATCTACCAGGAATAATGTGCCGGTAGTCAAATCCCTCACATAGAAAAGGCGACTGGGGTGATTGCCATTAACAGCCGTCGCCATTACTGTCTGGCTGGGGAGTTTCCCTGAGATGAGTTACTACTGTTGTACATACACGGTCGAATACACTTCAGGGCATTATGCCCATACCTCCTATGATACCAACAAATGTTACGGCTTTGAGACGGTGTTCTAGAACGTCGTCTAGATCTTGATCGCCGTTGCTTGGATACAGTATGTGACTGGTTCCTTTGTGCTCGAAGCTCGGACACTTCCAGTCGTAAATCTTGCATTTGAGATGTTAACTGGGAAAGTAACCAAAACATTGGTGCGTCCTTCATAGATGTGGAAGGGCTTGGTGGTACTGCCTCTGTAGACACGCTATTTATGCCATTATTTGATAACACATCCATGATATCGTCTGCCATTTTAGCTAATTCTTCAAGGTCTGTCGTCCTAGAAGATATTGTTAGGATTTGTTGAACATTTTGTGGTAAACGTTGTAAGAACATCTGACGTAGAATTAACTCATCTACTTTGTGTGACCCAATCAACTGGCGCATATGTCTAAGTAGTTGAGATGGCTTTTTTGTACCTAGATCACACGAAGTAAGTAGTTGTTGTATGCGTTTCTCATCGGAGAGAGTGGTCCGCTGGATGAGTGCAGCTTTTAGTTTGTCATATTGAGAGTCTGTAGGTTTGCTGTCTATGACATCGATAACCTCTCGTAGTACTTCCGTGGGAATTGCTGCTAATACGCAACCATACATGGCGATCTGCGACGTAATACCTCGAGCTGCAAACAACTGTTCAATAATTGTGAACCAGACACGTGGTTCAGCCAGATCAAATTGAGGAAGTCTTAAATCCGGCAAGGCGTTAACAGCAGAGTTCTGTGTCTCTTCGCCTTTATTACCTTCTTCAGCAACAGTGGTACGTTTAGGTGGAGCCATTGTCATATAATATGTAAGTATATAGATATACAAAATAGAAAAACTTGTGGTAACAAAAATTAAAGCAGTGCGAGTTTATAAGGACAAAATAGCAACAAAAATGTTCAAAACGAGGTAACTATCGAAACAAAAAGGTTCGAAAACGGGTTAACCATAAAAAAAGGGTTCGAAACGGGCTCACCAATTATTGTGGTGGACCTTTTCACTCTATTAGCTTAGTTACCCAAATTCAAGTAGAAAATAAAATACCAAATGAGTTTAGTTACGGGAAGAATGTATTAAAGTTTGATTACTTGAGTTTACAAAGGTCCACAGTCCACAATAAACGGAATAGACTCCAGGTGCTGCGGAAAGACTGCTCCAGTAGTAATTCTCCAATGTTAACGTTGCCGGAGGTCGACCAAAGTACGTAGGAAGAAACTACGGTGCTCCTGCAAAAATCAGAGATAGAAAGCAGGTGATTAGGATTGATCGACGGCAGTTGAGATGGTGGAGAAGACGGAGAGTCGAAGGCACAGCTGTATATTTTTTCAAAACCCGAGGTAAAGTTAAAGTACAGAGTTTCTGGTTAAAACAAAGTGGTGTACAATATGTTCATTATTTACATAGTAGTAAAATTTGGATAAGTTTCTTTTTTGAGGACTCCACAAGTCTCCAGGTTGTGATGGCATCAGACCATCTGTCCTGAAGCAGTGTTCAGAAAGTCTCTGTCAACCCCTAAGTGATCTGTTCCAACACTCCCTTGATGTAGGGAAACTTCCATGTGAATGGAAACGTGCAATCCTATCCCCTATCTTCAAGGGTGGTGACCGGCAGAATGCCACCAATTACAGACCAGTTGCTCTACTTCCAGTGGTATCGAAGATATCGGAAAGTCTCATTGACGACCACATGAGAAAATACTTCGATGGGACTAACCTTCTTCACGAAGCACAGCACGGTTTCAGGAGGAGAAGATCCTGCGTGACGAATCTTCTACTAGCCTGGAACGATTGGACACTATCCTGGGACAAAAAGGTACCAGCCCACGTGATCTTTCTCGACTTTGCGAAAGCATTCGACACAGTTCACCATGGTCTGCTCCTTCACAAAATAGGCAAGGCGGGAATTTCTGGAGCACTTCTGGCATGGCTGAAAGATTACCTAGGTGAGAGAGAATTCTGCACCAAAGTCAACCGCATCCGATCATCCTGGCACACTTCGGCATCAGGGGTTCCTCAGGGTTCTATCCTAGGGCCGTTGATGTTTTTGATTTTTATCAATGACCTGCCCCCCCAACTAAACTGCTCTGCGCTTCTTTACGCTGATGACGTAGAGATTTGGAGAGCAATAAACTCATCGGAAGACTCAGATAGATTGCAGGCTGACCTGCAAACTCTGGGAAATTGGGCTTTGGCTAACGTAATGCCTTTCAACCTAAAGAAGTGCAAAGTAGTGCAGCTTCATTCCGGCAGGTCACAGAGTGTAAATTACACCCTTGGTGGCCAGAACTTAAGTTGTGTTCCATCAGAGCGTGATCTAGGTCTTATTCTAACAGAAAAGCTAGACACCAGTGGAAATTACTCGAGGGACGTCGCCAAAGCCTACGCAACATTACACTTTATGCACAGGCAGCTGGGAGCTCTCACTCCCGAACTGTTCTTAAGGCTATACAAGGCATATGTGAGGCCACACCTTGAGGTGCATAATATCATTGCACCTCCGCTACTCAAAAGGGATGCTAACATTCTAGAAAGTGTCCAGAGACGAGCGACAAAATGGGTGATCGGCCTCCGCAACAAATCATATGAGGAAATACTAAAGAAATTAGGACTTTTCACACTTAGTTACCGTAGGCACAGGGGAGACCTCATCACCGTCTACAAGATCCTAAATGACCAGGCCCACCCAAATAAAAGCATCCTGCCATTAAGCGATTATAGGCTTCCACGAGGTGACCCGCTAAGGATAGCACACCAGAGACCAAAGACTCGAGTGCGATCACATTTCCTTTCGCTTCGTGTTTGCCGTCTCTGGAACGCTTTACCGGCGGCCGTGACTACAGCGGCATCTCTGGAGATTTTTAAGCGGAAGCTAGACAATCATGCAGAAATGCAAGGTTTGTGTCTCAATGGCTTATCCTCAAAAAACTTAAAACCACACTGTCAATGGATAAGCATACAAACTAAATCTCCACGACCTGTTCTGCCTTCTCTCACTCTATCTTTTCCTTAGGTCACCTTTATTATTCCACTTATCTCAACCTATATTATCTACACTACAACCTATTATTATTATTATTATTACTATTCTGCTTTTATGACTACACCGAATGACCAACGGGAGTTAGGTCAAACTCCATTCACGGCAGCAATACAGTCCTAACATACTGCATACTACAAACCACATCTCGACCAATCCCCGCACCACTCCTCCTGGAGTCTACCAGAGCTAAAGCAGTCGAGTGTCGGGACTTACTACACAGAAGCTCACCGAAGATCTGGAACCTCTACCTCACAATCAAGAAGCGAGCTCAAAGAAATCACTGGTTTATACTTGCTCGTAATCAGGATATTGGATATTGGAAGTGGATGGATTACAAAATTATTAAAGATTGTTTTATAAGTGAATTGATACCAAAAATATTTTTTTTAAATGCCCAGCATTGTCTAAAACTTTCAAAAATTAGGAGTACGATTACGATAAGAATAAAGATGTGAAGTGAAGTGGAGAGAATTCAAGTGGTAAAATGAAATAAAATAAAAACTAGAAAGAACATTACTATGACCAAGGTAAAGAAAGGGGTTTAACAAATCGTTTTTGAACACATAATTTAGGTAACTGTTCATGTATAGCTAAAGCTTCTGCTATGGATAAGTGAAGAAAACGTAAACTTTTGGATCGATTCGATTTTGCCATGTAGATAACCTTGAAGGATGAATCACTTGGGTCTGAATGACCGGACTCTAACAGGTGATCACAAATAGGCGACTTCGCAATTCTACGTTCACCTTTCATTAACCAAACCGGATAGAGTTCAGCTACACGTTTTCGGAGATTACGCTTACAACGTCCAATATAATCAGCTCCACTGGAGCAGGTAGAAGAGTAAATGCACACAGATGTGGACGTGAGTGGTAATCTATCCTTGACGCATTGTCTAATCATATTTCGGCTGGTAGAAACTAGTTTTAGGTCAGCTGCAGGGAAAGTGCGTTTAATACATTTAGATAAACGATTTTTAATCAATTCAGAAATGGTATCACCTTTAAATGCAAGACTCATAAGCAGTATTTTCTCTGCCACTGTGATTTATCTAGGGGCGGATTCTTTCTCGATGTTACGTTCAATAAACCTTGTAGGATATCCATTGTTAAGGAGATTTGATCGAAGGTAGTGAACTAGATAACCTTCGATCAAATCTGCATATATGAAATGATAATCTTTAGCAATAAAAACAGTACTTTTAAGATATGGATCCATCCTTTATATAGTTTTGTATTATTGATGACAGTCATAGAGTTAATCAAGTAGTTGAGTATCGAAACTGTTCAATAGATTTACATTTTGAAGTTGGTATCTTCTGCTGGAAAATAAAGTCTCCAATTTTTCGAGTGTGAACATCGTCAAATTTAATAAAAATTCCCCAATGCTTGGGCTTCATTAAAAGTAAGATGAACACATATTCGAGGACTTACAGAAGAAAACCTACAAGTGAACAGAAGAAGCACCAGGTGAAGACAGGATTTCAAGAGAACATACAAGAGACACAAGTGGTGAAAACAAAAAAAACGACAACAAAGAAAACGGAAATTCTGAATATGATCAAGCTACTGAATGCCAGTAGGGAAGGCAGTATTATCACACG